TGATTCGAGCATTAATGCGACTCTCATCGCTGTGCCCTCCTCAACATACGCTCTCTCTGCTATCTAATCACTCGCCACGTATTGACTACGGCGAGTGATCAGCTGATCGGTGGGCGGAGATCGCCAGACCCGCCAACTTTGAGGCATAATAGGTCGCCGAGGTCAAATTTTTCGATGCGAATTGCGATCAAGTTCGTGTGTTATTTGTTCGAAAATCAGACAAGAAGTAATGAGGAACCTCAAAAGCAAAAATCGTCATAGAAAACACGTAAATTCCCCTTGTGAGGTCGGCCGTGGTATGACGAGAGACACAGCGCTGCGAGAGAGGGAAAACGCGAGAGAGCACGTCGTACAGAGAGGGCGCAGACGCCACGTATGCCGCGATTGATAAGGATGGCAGCACGGCAGCACACAAAGCAAGGCCTTAGCGCCGTTATCTCGCTTTTCCACGCACTTTCGAGTCGCGACAGTGTCGCGTTTTTTGGGCTTGGAGCCTCTCTCACTCCAGAGGGAACACCTCTTGGCACCTAATCCCGGCTCACGGCTTTAATAGACATAGATGTAGACGCAACAACAAACAATTAAACCAAGTCAGCCGCTTCCGCTCATAGCAAGTTGCAGGGCCTACGAGATTACAAATATTTGCTTCTCTTGCCGGCTGACGGAATTGTTATCTCCTGCTTTAAAGGTGTATTAAGAAAGAAATTTCAGGTACGTAAGATCTCTCCCACCACAAGTGGGCAAACCCATCGAACAGATCGTTCCAGACTCAAACTTCCTCAAAGAAACTGAGAACGTCAAAGCAAATCTTACAGGCTGGTTGCCCTTCTTTTTTTCTTCATAGAAGAGCAGCTAAAGTCTCGCCTTTTTAGCCGAATGGGGTCGCGATTTATTAGCGAAGATGCTTGTTATAAATCCTGACAATCGATATTCCGTAGAACAATCGTTGAACCATCCCTATGTGAAAGTGTGGTTTCCGGGTGAGTTTATTTCTGAGCGATGAAAATGAAAGGAATTGGCTTATTGACCTCACTATAGACCTTTTCGTAATGTGTCCTATTCCAGGATGAAGAAGTGAATGCGCCCCAGTCTGAAAATCGCTATAACGAAGAAATTGACTGTGCTGACAGGACGCTTACTGAATGGAAAGGTACGGCAAAGCTACTAATAAAGCGGCACAGTAATTTGTAATGTCGTATTTATGGTTTTGAGGGGTTGCTCAAGTATCCGAAATTCCGATATCCACAGTTTCAAACTAGGTTATAGCTTCTGTCCTTCAGTGTGCATCCCCCACCCCACGTCCCCTCAACGTCCCACATCCATTGCCTCAAATATTGCACAAACCACATACCCTCTAAAGTCTTTTCTTTCCATCTCGCGTAGGTAGCTCACTAAACCGAGAGCGACCAACCAGGTTCATGTTCGCGAGGATTCAACGGTATAGTTGGGAATGTGGGAACACTGAATCATGGATCACCACGATGTTTCGGAGTGAAAGCAAATCCAACCACACTTTCGAGTCTGACCTCCATGTCCCTTTTAGTTAGAGCTACCGTCTCTATGAAGCTGTCGATCAGTGAATCGATTGATGAGATTAGGTAGCAGGGGCAGGCTGGAGCAATTACGGTAGGCCTCCTTGAGCTAGACGGCCATGACGAATTTACTTTACATTCTAAAGAAAGCGCTTGAATAGGGTTTTTTTTTTCTTCTTATAGGGCATTTTAGGAATATAACTTCCTTTTACTTTTTTACGTTCTTTTTCTTTTCTTCTTTTTTTTATTCACAGTTGTAACCTGTGCGACGGAAAGGTCCACTGATGTACCGCAGATGATAAAAGGTATTGTTTTCAAGCTCACCTCCTACCCCGCCCTCCCCTACAATATTGACTGCCATTGCCATTCTGAGGTAGATGGCGAGCGCAGTGTGTATCTCCAGAAAAAAAACAGAGACGGGTTCAATTCCTTTGGATCCTTGTTCCCCATACGTTGATGCACTACGATTTTCCTCTGGATCTCCCGTGGTAGAGTGGCATTCATGACCCCAGCTGTTTGATCTAAATACACTGGTGTGCAGAATCTAAGGACAAGATAGATGAAGTAACCTAACTTATTTATAGCTTTGTGGAACCTTTTAGTGGTTCCTGTTACTTGCTTTTTTGTAATGTTACTGGAACAGCTCCTTACAAGTTGTGGTGAGTGTTTTAGAAGCGTTTTACTCAGCAGTAATACGTCACAGAAAATTCAGAATCGTCCTCAAGTTTTGCACTCCAGTGTAAAACGTTTTCCTTGAAGGCAAATGCTGAATTGGTGCGACCATTGCATACGTAAATGAGAGTAATCGTGAGAACTGGACAGGCAATGAAGGAAAAACGAAATGAATTGTGTTGAATATCACAACCTGGGGCTTCTCTTTTCTTGTTACTCCGTGTGTGCGAATCATGAGAGGAAGAGACTCCTGGGGTAGGGGAAGGGGGTAGGGAGAGAGCATAATGGACAAGAGGACGAAGATGCCCGCACTGTCTATATGTGAAACACCGTAAACGGAGAAGGTAGTCAGCGCAAGGTGCTAGTGGTATTGGCAAACTTTCGAGCTCAAAGACGGCACAACAAAAGAACGGCCTACATGAGACTTTCGTGAATAGCTTCATCCTATCCATCGAAAGGATTGGTACACCTGAGCTTGTAGAAAACGGTTTTGATGTGCCGAGATCTAGACAATGGTATCGTTGGTTTCTTACATTGCTGTAGGTTGAAATGATCATTGGAGTCGATAACGAATCGTTGTGGAAATAGCCAGCAAAATAGGCACTTCGCACGTACGCATCAAAGCTCCTGCTCACCTTCAATCCCCTTACGATGCGCCACTTATTTTTTCCACTTGGTATCGTAGCCACCATCGAGTACATTAGTGCTCTTTGGAGCACCAGATTGGTCCACCGGCAAGCACCCGAACCTACAATCCCCTACCTCCAACCCCACCTCCAATCCCTCCTACCTACAGTGCTCTCGCCACTGCAGTATAATGTGGAATGAACCGGAAGTGTGCTAAGCAGGTGTTTATATAGCCCGAGAGTGTTATCACAACTATCCTACAAAACATTGATATCTCAAATCCTGTAAGCTACCCGATTTGTTAGCGGTTTGTTTATCCCATGAGCTTCCTTATCACTCACTTCATTTTGCGGACGGACAGACAGACACACGTACAAATCGGTTACAAGGCTTCTGTCAACCAAAGGGTGAGAGCGTAGCTGGAAAAGCACACACTTTGTGTCTTATTGGGACTAAGCCTTTTGAAGAAGATAAAGAAAGAGGAGATGCTGTGATAGTGTGCACTTGTGAGAGCTCCCAGACATCACTACAAAACGCTGAACCGCCAAGCTCACGGTTGACAGAAGTCCTGAGAGCGTACGAATCGACACACCAAGTTAGCGGTTCACATAATTTTTGAAAGATTTTCACGGGCTGGCTGGTGTTCAAGTCGGTGTCTATTGACTAACTCCTTCAATACCAATGAATTTCGAGGGATGCCATACTCGAATATCGTAAGCCGCTTTCGCGAACTTCTTTGGCAAGTTCTTTAAAAATGCTCCACCCTGCCTAGTCAAGATTATTTCGTTCGAAAGTCGTTATTGGGCATCATACGCGTTTACAGTGCTTATGAAATTTTTGTTTGTATTGCTGTGGTCCAGAAGGAAATGCAATATCCAAGAGTATGTCAAGTGGCAGCAATTTTTTTAAGGCAAGAGTAAAGCAAAAGTAAAGCATTTATTGGAGCTACCAAAATTGACACAGAATTCCCAGACATCCATATTATATCCACGTTTTAATTAGGCTTCAAAATATTCTTTTTTCAGAGCTGATCTACCAAGAGTGAAGCAGTTCGAGGCAAAGCATGACATTTTTGGGAAAGCATGATCTTTTCCTCCTCTTCTCAGCAATCGATGAATCAGAAGTGCATAGCAAGAAACCACTCTTCGTCTCTCGTAATGTGTTGAAATGTGTTGGTCTTTCGTTGAGATTTCTTCCAACAAAGCTGTAAGTGTAAGATTAGCGAATTTTCTTGAATTTGAAGTATAACAATTCTACCTTCTAAACAGCTGAAAATTTGTACTCTCAAACTTATTGTCTAACATAACTTTCCCGGAAGAGCCGCTCTTCAGATCGCCATATGAGCGCGTCCGACTTCCTTTCAGGGGCTGCTTCTACGTTTTGATTAGCCGCATGGAAAATTGATTTTGTCTCTCCTTATGACTTTTCGTTTTTCACATGCATGGGTTTACGTCAAAGCGTGAAAGCAGCCCGAATTTTGGCACTTCCTCGATTTCAAAGGTTCATATGCTTAGATATCGCTAGCGATATCAGTGCTGTCTACCTTCACTACACTACAAACGTACAACAATTTTGAAAGGAGTTCTATTATTTTTTATCGGGTAATCTACCGAACCGGGTAGTTCGAGTTCAATTGTTATGTGAGTGATAGAGCTATGTTTCAAATTGCTCGAGCTCATGCTCAACTCTAATCAAATCGCCAGTGCTAGTCTTCTTGCGTCATCTGCTGTTCTATTGTGTAGTTGAGATTATCAGTGAACATTTATTATTACTTGATTGTTTGCTTACTGAATGCCAAACATATAAATATGTATGGTTATTTATGACCGTCTTCAACTAACTGTTATTTGTTCAGTCAACTAGGGTGAACAACTTGATTTTTCTGTTGATGTAGTCTGATTACTCAGGCGAGCTATTGGCTATTAGTGGGTTCATTCAAGGTAATCCAATAAAGATATAGATAACAGTATTTTGTTACAACATCTGGTGCAGAAACATCGCTGTTAATAAGGACGAATTCACCGCACACCCTGACAAAAAGAAAGGTTTCACGGTTCAGTACGTAAGGGAGCATCGTTTGAGCCCGTTCAGTTCCTATTAACAGTGGACGTCACGGTATATCCTCGAAAACGAAGAATGTTCCAGACACTGCGTATGATTCAACCCCTGAAGGTAGATGGATCTGGAAGTAAATGCCCGAATAAACGAGAAATGGACGTTTTTGGAAACCCTTCTCGAGTGACGTGTTTTGAACCGCTCGAATGTTCTATATGTCTACCAGTCGTGAATGCCCACAATGCTCAGTGCAGCTAATGCTTGCCTCTTGGCAAGAATCATGAGAAGCAGTTTCAATCCGCTCAATGCTGAGATAGCCATGCGACCAAAATGAGCTACATGAGCAGGTGAGGACGTTGAAATCCAAGGAGGGCAACCACGGTTAATCTCAATAAAGAGGAACGTCTTCGGCAAGGACCACTCCGCAAGGAAAAGGGAAAGATGTCGATGTCACAAGTTTTTCAGTCTTTTGGTAGGGAACCTTATTCGAAATTACTCCCACACGGGCTCCCTCTCTTTTAATCAAAAGTTTCCCCCTTTTTTTTTGGGTTTCTCCTTTAGAACTGAAAGCGTCTATCGGTCGACTACGTAGTCTCATCTCAACACGTAACGACGAGGACTGTCAGTCGGACTGCTGCAGTAAAGCGACTTGCAAGTCAAGAGGTTGGGACACTTGCACATTATCGTTCGCCATAATGAAAAGGTATCATACTGATCAGTTCTCTTTGTCTCATCTCGTATGTTGCGTTAGTTTAGTTTCAGTTTGAGTTTTTTTTAGAGTTGTAGTTTGTAGTTAATTAAATAATTAATTCACCAATGTATACTACCACTGAATTAAAACAACCTGCGATGGTCCAATGAGGGTACTGTCCGCATAAGGTAATATATTACGCATCTTATTTGTACTAGGGGATTTGGTGCGCACGCCAACGATCGAAGATCAGGGACGCTGCTGCCGTTTTCGCCAAGGAATCGAAGATAAGGTGGGCCGGACACGTCATGCGATTTTGCGATGACCGTTGGACCAGAGCGGTTACCGACTGGATCCCTCGGGACGTCAAACGAACACCTGGACGACCGCCGGCCCGATGGTCAGACTTCTTCACGAAAGCTCTGAACGAAAGGAATGATGGACTTCGTGTCCCTCGAGCAAGGAGGATCCACTGGACCACCTAGCACGCGACAGGGACGAATGGAGACGTTGCTGGCGCCCGCTCGAGCAATTCGATGATCAACGGGACGACAGGTGATACAGGTGATACTAGAGCTTATATTTATCC